CCCCCCTCCCCGGTCGCAGCGGTCTCCGGTTTTCTGGAATTGGCAAGGTGGCAACCCTAGTTCTCAGACAACGCTTAGATAAAAGTATACAAGCAATACTGATTTCGTTTATGCTTTGATTTTACTTTTCAGCTGATACTAGTTTAGGGAGATTTTGGATGCTATGTGATGCCATTGTGGCAATTGTTATGCATGCGTATTTGGATATATGTTCTTCACATTTTCATCAATGTTATGACTGCCATATTTGTTATTTCAGCTTTCCGTTGGGAATAACCAATTTAAGAGGTAGTGTGGTCACCTTTCCTCTCTTGTTTCCTCCCTAGGTGGCAGAAAACTTTCTTAATTTGGGTAGCAAACTCTTTTATAATAATATTGAAATATGAATATTTGCGTCAAACTTGAGTGAATTTATTCACAAAAGAGATATGTCAGGAACACTGTGCCTTGTTGCACAACTTTTCATGAGATAGACGTAAGACAATACAATAATCTTTCAACGAAAATGCCTCCTGGACCTATTGCTTTCGGAAACGCAACTTGTCAGTTTTTAATTTTAACATGTTGACAACCACGGTCATTGGTACTTTTAATAATTCTTCAACTACTATTGAAAAAAGAGCGAGAGAAGAAGAGTACGATTCTGGAGCTGGAAAAAGGGTGCGCAGAATATCCTTCTCCCCCATTCACCACATACACTTTTTACTGCCTTTGGACTGTAAATAAAATTAAAATAAAATAGTAAGTTACATAACAAGTGCGCCAATCCCTCAAGCGCGTGTGACGCATATTATATTTAACAAGCTGTGTGCGAATTTTTTTTCACACAAGCTTCGAAATGTTTCGCACACTATTAATTAGAATGGAAAAAATCAGCTGCTTCGCACGGGGAAACCAAACGCGAAAAACGGTTTCGCCCCCGGTATGTTGAAATATCGATGCGCTCGTACGACAAACTCGTACGAGCGCATCGATCGAGCAACTCGACTCGTGCGTGAATCAGCTATTTCGCATCCTCGTTACGTAAACTACTCATTTATGTACGCTTTCAGCAAAGTAAAACTTTCGAATCACTGAACATCAAAGTAAGCACGGGTTCCTTGCGCTAGAGCTGAACATTTAAGGCACGGCCGGCACAGCACGTACGGAAGAAGCAGAGTCCGGCAGGGCAGCTGCGCCCGAGGCCGAAGCGGAGCGCTGGACGCGTCGCTGGTCGCGGCAGAAGCTGCGCTGGCGGTCCAGCACGATGGGGCAAATGGCGGTCGGCGGCAGGATGTGCACCCGGAACTCTCCCAGCGAGCATTCGGGCTTCACCTGCGACGCGCAGCGGTTGTGTAGCTGCAACACCACAATGCACACGTCGCTCAGGGACGATTACGGACGGAAAATCAAATAAGGACTTCAGAAGGGCGTCGAGAATTCGTCGGGCGTTCGGACGTCAAAATTCCGAACCGTGGGTAATCCGGATTCGATTCTGGTGAAAAATATTGCATGAAATGAATACTGAATATTTGCACATATTCAAACAATATGATTTACTGTAGGTGCAGTATTTGTATTTTTATACATAATGTGTTTTGTTTTGAGCCTGTGTTTACTGTACAAAAATAAATCATACTGGGCGTAAAAGAAACTGAATGTTTTGCAACTAAAGACGTAAAATTGTACAACAAATTATTTAATTAACCGCCTATAATTTCCTAATTATTAGAGTGAAGTCAGAACAATTAACAAGATGTACGTTGACGTCTACCGATGCAGTTATTAGTTGAATTACAAAATGTGGAAAATTTGATGAGCCAGTCGATAAGTGTAAATGTGAAAAAAATGACCAGTCATGAGGAAGATTACGATGTGATATAAAACGTTCACGGCGATGACCACGGACCACCAATCGCAGGTGACTGACTGCGGAAGCTAACGTTATCAAGTTTATTGCTCAACCATAACACAAAACATCACAAAATTCGAAAATGATTTGTGATCGTATAAAGATTTTTTATCTACTTCCTGCTACGTGTGCCAGACGTTACTCTTTCCTTAGGAAATTAGTCTTCCTTATTTGAAAATCGTGATGTCACCGCGAAAGAAGACTTGTTCGATGATGTCACGACACCGTTTATAAAAGGCTATTTCCCACTAAGATGGCGATTGATTTGGATAACCATGAAGAATAGAAATTAAACAAATACTGATTCGTAATATAAGCATATATGATCGTAGAAAACTTGTTTATATTTCGTGACTGAATGACTTTGTTATAAGATATAGATTGTTTCTGTTGTTTTTCTTTGACTCCACCTATCAGGGGTTGGCAAGAAATCTCAACTTCTATTGTGCAAAAAACAATTATTTCACGCACTATATAGACTTCTACAATGGCTATTATTCACTCGTAAACATCAACTCGTGCATAATAGCTATCATTCTATGCTCGTTGAAGAATATACTAATATTGCGCTTAGCAGTAGCAAAGTTTCAAGTGTTAAGAAATAAGAGCTTGGCTCACCGTCGTCTGACACCAGCGGCAATGCAGGCCGGTGATGCCGTTATACGCCTTGATGGGCTTGCGGCAGCGAGCGCACCGGCCGTGGCAGTTGCCCTCCACCCAGTGGTGCGACATGGTGGGCGCCGTCTTCTTGGACTTGACGTAGGTGGCGATGCACGAGGCGGGCGCCCGCTGGACGCACCGTTCGTGCACGGTGTACTTGCAGACTGCAGGCACACAGAAAGCCAATGCAATATTGTGACAAAGCGTGGGGAATTACATGAAGGCGTTGGTAAGGAAAATAGTAATTGGAAGACATAGAAAGAAACCCCAAAAATTAAAATATCCATTAGAATCTCGCTGTTCTTCGAGTTCGTACAAATCAATGCGGTACACAAATTTTGGCGCTGTTGTTTATCACGGATATACGCATATATAGAAACTGAGAGACGTTTTGCCGTCAACATACTTTTAGGTATTCTGGACCCACAATGGGATTCTGCCTACACAACGTGTTAGGAAATAGACCTTTTTACATATAGGAAGAAGATTTATCCTCGTTTTTGTTACCTCGGCCCGATATGACCAGTTTTTTGGTCGAAAATCGCCGATTTCCCCAGCAGTTTTACAATACTTTCTCTTTACTATTGTAAGTACGAAGTAGGGGGAAAAGATATATGAACTGCATAGGACAAATATCTAGAGAGGTTTTAAGGAATGCAATAAAATGGTAAATATTTAAAAATAAGACGAAGGACAAAGACAATTCAAATATTGAATGCAATGTTTGAAGACACGTGATACAAAAACCTAAAATACAGAAAAATGAATAGAAGCAAAGAGAGAGTGTATGTGTTGTCTGAAGGAGCAGAAAACCAATGGTGAAAAATGGGGAGAATTTTTAATTCGCTATCCCCCCCCCCAAAAAAAGTTGAACAGAATGAGTTTCCTTTTTAAAAAAATTGAATTTTCAGGATCACGTCATGAAACACTTAAAACCTTTTCTCCAAACCTCTGTGCACTCACAAATGAAGCTCTGAAGACATAATATTTTAACTACGACAAAGAAGATTCCTTCTCTCTACATCGACCCATCTGACTCTTCTTCCAAAATAAATTTTAAACCAGTAATTCAGTAGTGATTTCGATTGATTGATTAATAATTACAAGCGCCTCAACTCTTAAGGTCACCGTAAGTGTAGTGATTTTTCCTCTGGAAGGGGCGGAAATCGTCCCCCGCCAGATGGGGAGAGGAAGAGATGCATGGACGGTTGGTGTGATCTGGCGCCGACCTACCAGTCGGCAAACGGGATTTTCCCCAACCACGTATCTCCCATCAGCGGGGCACTGCCCCAAACGGGACAAGTTCCAAACTCCCGACCGGTCTCCCAGCATGACTGTAATGTAAAGGGTCGTCTACGTAACGGGTGAGGATAGGGTAAGAAATATCGCGTGCGGTCCGGAGCCCGTTTTTAGGGTACTGCTCTAGCATTCGCCTAGTGTTTATCGGAGAAACCACGGAAAACTACAGATTACAGCAGTCTGGCCTCTAGAACTCTCCTCCAAACAGCAATCTAGCTAGTGTAGAGATTCCTGCCACCGTCGGAAATCAAACCTCGGACCTCTTGGTCAGAGGCTCTGCAGTGACATCAGATGATGCCCTGAGCAACCGATATTTCGGATTTATATCTTTGAAATTTTTAGAATTCGCAATATCAATTATACGAATGAATTTTTCGAAAATTTTATTCAAACATACATTCTCAACTCAGGTTCAAATGAGAATTGCCACATCAATGAACGATTCTTTGAAAAATCTAATAAGTTGAAAAATCGAAATCGAATTAACGTGAGCGCACTACAGGGTTACTGGCAACAAATGAAGCACATCATTCTCATTTCACTTATCTCAATTGGGGATTGTTGAGCAAAAGCAGATAACCTTTATTTCATTAACAATAAATTCAGTTAACGTCGCTTATTGTTGTCACTTCGGGTCATGGATGATCTTATAACATTAAACGAGTGATAACAATAAAATAAACAATTCTAATTGAAGATTCTCCAATGACAAAAATATGTTCCTTACTTAGTTTCTTTGGAAAAAACATCCATTAATAATAAAATGCATTCGTGTTTACATTCAATTAATGCTTTCACTAAGAGAGGAACATTTCTTATAATTTAACATCAGATTATGTACAATGTCAGGCTCAGTTTATATAATTTTTAAACGTCCTCGATTAAGATAAGATTCTGGTTTTCTTTGAGGATTCCATTCATATAAATATTACTTAAAATGTTTCCGAAAATAATTCATCTATGCTGAACAATACGTCGCAATATTTTTAATGTCTGCCTCACTTCAGATGTTGTTGAGGGTTAAGATATTTCCACAGTCCTAATGTTTTTCTTCTCCGCACACTCCTCCGCCACTTGTGAGTGGTAGAAATAACGAATTTACATGCGTCGTCTTCTGTTTGTACAGCAGATGTCTTCCCAACCACAACCATCGATTAAAGAAATTCGTTCTCCGTTATATTCGATGTTCGAGTGCACAAGATTTCTTCACGCTAACAGTGAATACGGGGTTCCGCGAGTCGTGACCTATGTGGGCTCAAAGCTTTTTAATTTTTTTATTTATTCTTGCTCGGCGTGTAGCCAAGCATTATTGCCAAGCCATTTTGTCGTGGCGTTGAATCTATGGTATGTTACGGTTTTCATAGGTGAAGGTGGGTGGGTCAAGGGGGCTTCGAAGAGTCAATATTTTTCCTTGACGCTTGCGTTTATGTGAATATGCCATTTTTGTGCCTAATCCGAAAATACGTTGAGATGATCTTGTAGATCCTCTAACGCTGTTTCTATGTCTCGGTTTGTAGGGTACATTTTTGTGTCATCTGCCAAAGTGGCAATGGATGTAAATTGTGTGTTGGGTACGTCAACTATGTAGAAATTGAACAGGGTTGGGGAGAGGCTCGGTCTCTGTGGAACTCCTGATTTTATGGGATATGGTGCTGAGAGTGCACTTTCTATTATGCGTAAAAGATACTGGAAAGTGCCATGGATAACAGACTGATTGGACGATAGCTTGCCCGTTTTCCTGGCTTGGGGATGGGAATAATATGTATTTCTATTTATGGGGCAAGTATGACATACTCAGGGCTGCATTGAATATTGCTGTAATGTGTACAATGACTTTTAGAGGAAGACGTTTGAGTAAGTAAGCTGAGATTTTGTCAAAGACGTTTGATACTTTGGTGGCTGAGAGAGAAATATATTTAATGATTTCTAACGGAGAAATGAATTTTGGACATTCTGGTATTGTGATTATTGGTCTTAAGATTTATTATGTGCTGAAATTGTCATGCCCAGGGTTGTTGTGGGGTGGGGTGTGAATGACCAAACACATCGCGTTTTTCAGATGGTGAAGATGCTGTGCCCGATGAAGTGCTGAGAGGGGGTATATTGATAGGCTTATTCAGGATACGACGAGTTGTGTTCCATAAGGAGTGGTCTACTGCTTTTGCCGTTTGTGTTTGAAAGTGTAACTTTCGAGCAGGGGTGATGGCTAAGAGTTGTCTCATAATTTTGGTGAGTAGGCACAGGAACGAATTCAAAAATGGAGATCGATGTTTCTGCCAGTAATTTTTTATATCTCATTTGTGGTGGATCATTTTTTGTAGATTGGGTGGTGTGCGTGCGAGTAGAGAGTAAGGTTGAGAGGGCGGTTAAATCTAATGTATGTAACATGGTGTGAGTGCATTGATTGCTTGGACTATTTCTTGTCTAGTTTATTGTGTTATATTTCCCAAGAGTTAGCGGTATTCATTACTCGTTGTAACGTGAGATCCGACACTAACACGTTGGTTTCCAGTTTTCTTCTCCAGGGATCTCTCCTAGCGGGTCATCGTCCCAGGCGAGACAAGTCCTAGCTTGCAACATGAGTAGTTTTGCTTCAGTAATGCAAGTACGTGTTTGTGTGGGGAGGCGAGGGGCAAGGGTGAGAAAGGAAAGAGCGCGCGTCGCCCGTTGCCCATTTGTTAGGATACTTCTCTGGCATTCGTCTGGCAACGACAGGAGAAATCTTGGAGAACTGCTGATCTGAGCAGCTGGTCGTTAGACTTCTCCTCAGACAATGGTTGAATTCGATCCAACTTTGAAGCTAGTCTTGAAGATCACCCACTGTCGGGTCTCGAACCCGAGATATTGCTGCCATGACAAAGGTGGTGCCGCTTCGCAGATATCGTAATATGGAATATATCGCAACTATCGAAGATAGTAAATTGTGATATGCTAATCGATATATTCCATGACATTAACATGAAGTGTGAGATTCAGCTCTTCAGGACCTGCTACACACGCTTACATAGAAGCAAACCTAAAAATGGGCGGACTAGTGTGTAATGCGTACTCACGGATTTTGTATCATAGCAACGAATCATTTGTAGCGACTAAGCGCGGAAATGCTTTTGCTCGTATTCGTGCTTTCCTTGAAGGATTTTGTTCATGTGTGGAGGAACTATATTTTCAATTTTAAAATCATATTGACCACGGTTGCAACCAGCAATTGTAGTACAGAATAGAATGTTGTCACTGAATGAACTGGTTTCTAAGTCGTGTTATGTTTTCGGAATATGTTAAACTCAATTGCAGATTGGACACATTTACCTAGAGAAGGTATTGAAATCTGAACGCAAATTATTTAAATAAGGTGCAAAGAAATCCATGACATAAAAGACAAACGTTTAAACATTTTACCCGAATGATACATGGAGTGCAAATGTTGTAGCATACTTTCCATAAATAAGATAAAGAACTTATATGTGCCTTGAACTGTCTCTCTAATGAGTGTGTTTTGACTCGCCTTATACGTGAAATAATAGTGAAGAGATTGGCTCAATGGCTGGTGTTTTAAAATAAGTCGCAGTGATTTTTCCCATGGCAGGTCATTTTCAGGCTCACTGCTCTGCCGAGAGTGAAAGAGGGGCCAGCCATTTATGCGCGTCTGGGAAGTGCGCAGCCGGAGACCGGGATGGAAAAGACTGCTGCTGGGGCACTACCAATACACCAGAGAGCAATTTGTTGGAGCGGAGTTAAAGACCAGATGAGAGTGTCAACTTAATCAGGTCACCTTGAGCACTTTATTATTATTATTATTATTATTATTATTATTATTATTATTATTATTATTATTATTATTATTATATCACATTGCAATAAACGACCT